AACCCCACAGGTTCTTCTGACCGGAAGGAATAAAAATTGTCAGAGAAATTTCTACCTTCACCAAATTAATAAAATTAGCACCACCAGAAAAAAAAATCAGTGGTGTTAATTTGGTTAATTTGGTGAAGGTAGAAATTTCTCCAACAATTTTCATCTCCTTCCGGTCAAAAGAATCTATGGGGTTTGTGATAGTAAAATTAGCAGGAATTTATGAGTTTTGTCAAGTGAAATTGGTGACAAAAATAGAGAAGACATCAACAATGGGAAAAGAAAAAAGAAGAAAGAAAAAGGAAAAAAAATAGAAGAAAAGAAAAAAGAAAGGTAAAGAAAAAAATTAAAAAGTACTAATAAAAAGAAAATGGTGTTTGTAATGCACTTTAATATAGTTAACGAAAGAGTTAATTAGTTTGGGTGGATTCCGTTTAGAAAATGGCATATATGGACCAACTATGTGATAACAAGGACATATATGGGCTAAAGTATTAACGAAGGGCAAATGTGCTCCATTTCGTATAGTACAAGGCCATATATGGACCAATTATGTGACGATAAGGACATATATGTACTAATATATTAACGAAGGGAAAATGTGCTCAATTTTATATAGCACAAGTGCATATTAGGACCTTTTTCGTAAAACATATTCAGTTTTTAAAAACTATGTAACATTACCTAATTTTGGCAAACTTCAGATGAACCTTTTGAAGTTGGGCTAGCCAAATCCTAACTTCATATCCGAAGGTGTGAAGTCTGAAAAGTCAGAGAAGAGCCCAACTCTAGACCTGAAGGTCTGAGTTTGAAAACTTCCTTGTACTCTGCCATGATAACTTGAAGTCCGTATCATGGTGAAAAAAAGGTAAGGCAATGATTCTTGTTCAAAAAATAGACCGAACGCCTTTGAATTATTGGTATTCTTGCTCAAAAAACAGACCGAACGCCTTCGAATTATTGGTATTCTTGCTCAAAAAACAGACCGAACGCCTTCGAGTTATTGGCTTGTCCAACCCGGCAGCATTCATGAGTAGCTGGTTCAACTGTCTCTTGGAGATAGGGTCGAGAAGTACCTGTTGCCCCGTCCTTTCTTTCTATCAGTCTAGTTTTCATATCTGTATTTCTGAAGTTGATTCTAAGGTAGCTAAATTATAAAAAATTTGTAAACTTAGGCTATTCTTTAAATTGGTGGTGGTGGTGGTGGTGGTGGTGGTGGTGGTG